CTACTGAAAAAAAGTAGCGCACCAGGTTTCACGGGCTAGTATTAAGTCGCTTCCGTGGAATGGAGTGCTAGTTCATGGCGTATTGCTGCCCCCGCTCCGGCCAATTATATACCCCCTACTGACTCTCTTGGGTGCAGAGAGGCAAGCGGGAGTAACATGGCCTGCCCAAGGACACAACGTATGCCCAGCAGCTGGATTCGAACCCATGACCCTCTGACCATGAGTCACAAACCCTATTCACTGGGCCACACCCCCATCTTCAAGACAGGCTTAACGTTGAGCGAAACACTTGTGTCAGTCAACAAAATATCAAATTAAAATTATTGTTATTTTCGAAGTCATTCAGACTACGAAAACGCACGTTTTTCACAAACCTTTTAACAATGGAAGTCTACTTTGCATGGCGGCAGTATAGAAATGCAAGATGATGAAACGGCTTAGGGGTTGAACAACACGAGTATGGTCGTTTAATATTCGGCAATGCGTTCTGTGCCGAGGGGGACACTTCACAGATCGAAGTAATTACGAACGTCTCTTGCATACAGTAAGCGCTCGTATTTCTGCAGGTACCGTAACGTTCCTGCCCCTCAGTGGCCCAGCAAGAGTTCTTCCAGGGTATTATAAGGCCATTTGGTGACTTCCATTCAGGACTCATTTTATTCCTTTTTTAATATCGCGAGTCTTTTATTCCCCGAGAAAGAGAAATGTCTACTGGGACCACACTGCGATGCCAGTGTGTTAGAAGCCCTGGTGATTTTATCTTCCCCTTTCCGTATATATTGCCAAGTTTGCCCAACCTCCGTGCAAGTTGCACGTCACACGCTGCGCTGGCGTTTAATAAGCGAAATTAGGCGCTACGTATGCCTCGCATCTTAGCTAATGCATCCACCCCGAGGTTCCCCGGGGAAAGAGGTTGATGCCCTTACGGTGGCCGAGCAGTAATTCGCATAGAAGAACACTCGTCGATACGAGCGCTGTAGGTAAGAGTGTCATATAGGACACTGTAGCTAGCTACTGCATATTTTTTTCAGCTTCATTTTCATCGACCTTGATTTATCACAGTGCATTGTTCGATGGTTTGATTTTTAACAAAATCGTCGAACGTCTTCCAGAAAAGAGAAAGACTCAAACTTACAACGTGATATTAAAGTGTTTTTGCAACAGGCAATACATTTTAGACGACTGTGGACCATGCACTGGCTCTTAGACGCTGTTTTCTCGGAAAGCACGATCATACTAAAACGTTGGTGGTCGCCGACCATTTACGACTATCGTATTGGCTCTTACTACGTTTTATTCAAATTGGATTTTTTTAATGACCCCTGTTACCATCAGCGGCGCGGCCCCTTTGACGCTAACAAACCGCGCATTCAATTTTGTAAACCAAATTAGGTGGATTTCCTCGGCTTGTGTAACTGCTGGTCATTATCGATAATGGTGGATAGCCTCGTGTAGGAAAGCAACCAGTCAAGCGCGCCACTTGTACGCCCATTTCAGAATGGCGACCAATTGGCTAATTGTGGCCTTTGAAGCGGTTGCCACATTACAATGGAGTTATGCATGATCATCATCTCACATACATGTAATGTACAAATAAATTTATTTTAGATTCTGTCATTATTGGGTGATGTGACCACAAGTCTCCGAACTGAAACCTGAAAAGGAAAAGGTCGCCTACAGGTCGGAACTCTCTCCGATCAGAGTACCCTTGCGCCAAGTTTTCACCCCAAGCGTGGCTGCCGCATAATGCAAACAGAAAAAGACATTATTGCCGGAAAAATGCCATGAAGTGACGGGCTCAGCACACGGACTGACATCCCGTTCGTATACCCACTCCGCTTGAAGGCCAAGACTGGATCGATAGCCAGCATGCCCGGCCCCCCCAAATTTTCCCCGCCAACTTTATTTACACGGCCACGACACTCGCCCGCTCGAGTGACCTCAAGTAGCCCCGTGCGATTTCCCACTGCTAAAACTCGGCAGGTAATAGGCCCACTCGCAAGCTGTGCTAGCTTCGGAGTTACTGAAAAATAAAAAACCTGTCTCCGTCGCTTTGCCCTGCTTCCACTGAAGTGGCGAAGTTTGCACTTTGAAGTGGCTCCGCGCAGGATAATCTTTCCCTCTGCTGGAGGAGTGGAGGTTAAGGTGCGCGCTCTGCCGACGTTTCGAGCGGTTTCTTGCGGCAGTCGCTCATCATTTTGTCGCCGCACTTACCATCACGTTAAACACACTGCGATATTCTGTGTAAACATACATTTTCAACTTAACTTAATTAAATTTTGACTAACGCATGACGCAGAATAATACCACTTGGCGTATCTCATTGGGTTGAAATGAAAATTTGTCAAATATCATTTTTACTGATTAAAATGCCATTGCACGAGGAACACCGTCTTCTGATTAATTGCTACCATTATTCAAACTAAAAGATCTTTCTAATTTAAAACAAACGAGCTGACAGCAGGTGTAGGCCTAACTAAGAAGGGGCGCATGGAGATGGATGAAATATCTGGTGATAATCTGTCTAGGTGAGTGTTTCACCTATCACTCCAGGAGAACGGGGTATAGTTCAGATCCTAATGTCCTCCCTCTCCCAGAAGATGAGGGTCCCTTCGGGTTCCCCCCGCCGCAAAATGTACCCCACTTATACCACCAGCTGACATAAAAACACAAGGCGATCGAATTGGAACGAATAAAAAAAAAATCTCGAATCCAATCTGTGGAAATGCACCGGAGTTTTTGTTGTGGAATCATGATGGACGCAAAGCAGGGAACTTGTGCCAAATTCTCTGCCCATGAAAAAATACTAAGCGGGCAGCGATGTTGAACTTGATAAAAATGACAGGGGATGACATCCAGCAGACTCACACCTGCCGATGGCGGGTATCTACCGCGGGGCCCTAATCCCTCTCCGCAGAACAAACTCCGCCGGATTTGTTAATACCGTTTAATGGACACAGAAGGCCCGGCCACTTCTCTCGCTGGGGCCTTCTCCATCATAATCGGATCCGCCGACGCATCATCCAAGCCCCCCCCGGTAACGTGAGTTGCCCCGGGCCATCCAGTTGGCGAGCGCCAGGTACAGTATTTTACAGACAACCGTAAGCGAGCTCGAGCCAGCAGGCTCTAAACTAAAGCGCAACCTCCCTCCTCATCAACAGGGGCTTGTAGCATGACAATCTCCCCCCGGGAGGCAAGGCGAGACGGTGCGGTACCTTTTAGCGGATCACGCCGATTTAGAGCATTACTTTTCGCCACTCGCACGTTTCGTCTCGGTATTTGCTCCTCCCAGTCAGATGCGTGCGCGGTATATAGCCGAGACCAGACGAAGGAATGTTTCGTTGAGCCATGACTAAGCTCGGTCTGGCTTAAACTTAGGCCGTCCTGAGCATGCCTGATATGTCATGGAACAAACATGACTTTGCAGACAAGCAAATCGGGGACATGAGAAGTCAAGCAGGAAGATGGCATTATATACTGAAAAGTTTGTCAGGGATAGGATACAGAGCTGACACGAAGACTTCACATCGTTCGGTATTGAAAGAGAAAGAATATTGCGAATCGTGATTCGAAAGAGACTGGGAGAGAAAGCAGGCAGGGACAATCACTCCAGACGTACAAAACCACCGAGTTACGGGAACTCTGTTCAGAAGCCACACACGGCTGTTTCGACTTCCGCGACCCAGCATCCCCCGGAATTGGTCCCGACATCTGAAAATGTTATTTGTTCGCGGGCTGCTCCCCGTTGTGGGCTTTTGCATCACCCAGTCCTTTTACCACGGTCGGTTGCGCGGTTCGTGCCGCGTGTTGCCACTTTGCCCCTGCTCCTGCATTCCTCAACCCCGCGGGTCCTCCATCGTTTTTCTTTACCCCGGGGTCACGGGGAAACACTGACAACGGCACGACCTTAGGTGAACCCAAACTCCACCGATCATTTGGGGGTCTATTAACGCGATACGCTTTGGCCTTTGCGAGTGGATTTAGCATTAAACGGCTTCAACTTTGAAGGTGCTGAAAAAAGTACTAGCGGGATAACAAACAAGCTTTGATAACCAGCCATGGGGATTGTACCTTTAGAAGTCTCCTTGCGGTCGAGTTCGTGGATTTTATGTGTCACTCTGTAGGCTTATTGCAAAGCTATAATAATCAGTGATTTAAATGTAGGGATGTGTACTTTTTAGTGTGCGTATATCCCACGAATGTATGGGTTATGAATTATTAATGTGGGCCTAATTTATTATTCATGATCCATCCAGTCATGTACTTACCTCCACCTTCAAGTTGTAATTTTCCGTTCACAAACAGACCTAAATACTCCTTGTTTAAGTGCCAAGCCTCATGGGATATGATTGGTACAATTGTCATTTATATTAATCCCTGTTTCTTATAATAACCTACCACAGTAGTACAAATAATATTTTGTTGGTAATTACGAATCACGGGGGGTTGCAATGAAGGATGGAACAGCGAGCGCATGGGGTCGCTCCTGCATGCCCACCGCGGTCCGCTGTCTCTTGCTTGTAGGCATGAACCACTGGCTGGACTGTCGGCTGTCCGAAGTTTTATTCCATTTTGACA